CTTGACATCCAGGTACTGCAGCCCCTAGTGTTCAGGTGCCTATGCATCAAATAGGAATCCTATCTACCCACTGCCTCTGCATCCTGTCCCCAGCTTCGGGAGAGCTTAGAGCCAGATGCCTATGCACTGTTCCATAAGAAGCTAACTGAAGGTGTGCTGATGCGGGACCCCAAGTTCTTGTGGTGTGCCCAGGTAAGTGCCCTGCCCATAACAACTGACTGTGGAGGAACAGGGGATGATGCCAGCTTGGTCCTCAAATAACTTTATGCTCTTGCACTCAGTGTTCCTTTGGTTTCATATATGAGCGTGAACAGTTGGAGGCAACATGTCCCCAGTGTCACCAGACCTTCTGTGTGCGCTGCAAGCGCCAGGTGAGTCATGTGCATTCTTTCACAAATATTTGCTAAACTATTGCTAAGTACTGCATTAGACTCATGGAGTATTTTGGAAGGCAGAATAGACATAAGCTCTGAGCTATAAGARGTAGGAAGCCAGGCACAAGGAGAAAAGGAAGATGGTAGGGGTGGGGAGAAAAAGGGAGGAGGAAGGAAAGGAGGAAGTAGGGAAGAAAATCAAGGGAGAGGAGGAAATAATTATACATAGGCATAAGTTCTATGCAGAAAACAAGTAGGAATCTGACAGGAATGAGAGCATGGACCTAATGAAGACAGAGAAGTCTTCTCCAAAATGGTTTAGTTTAAGCTCAGGCCTGAAAGTTAAGCCATGCAGAAAATATTTGGGGAGAAGAAACAACCCAGGGAATGGCCAGAGTTAGAAAAAGAGTTGTATGGCTGGAATCTTGAGAGCAAGGGTGAACCTGGGAGGTAGTTGGAGAAAAGGTAGCTGCCAGATCAGGATAGCCCTTGAGGTCAAGTGAGGCAGATATTTGCCTTTTATTTTTTTTTTTATTTATTATTTTTTTTAAATAACCTATGCTCTTTTTTTTTTTTAATATTTATTTTTTAGTTTTGGGCGAACACATCTTTGTTTGTATGTGGTGCTGAGGATCGAACCCGGGCCGCACGCATGCCAGGCGAGCGCACTACCGCTTGAGCCACATCCCCAGCCCCGATATTTGCCTTTTATTCTGAGACTAGGCAAGGGGTGACRCTCTTATTTATCTTTTAAGAAGTTCAGTGTTTGAGCCCAGTGTGGTGGTTCATGTGTATAATCCCAGCTACATGGGAGSCTGAGACAGAAGGATTTCAAGTTCAAGGCCAGCCTGGGCAACTTAGTGAGACCTATCTCAAAATAAAAAGGACTAGGAGAATAGCTCAGTGGTAGAGCACCCCTGGGTTCAATTCCCAGTACCATGAAAAAAAAATAAAAATGTAAAGCATGATACTTAAAAACTTGCATCTCTTTTATGAAAGCTGATAATAAAATGAATATCCCAAACCCTACCACCCGACTTCAGAACTAGCACACTACTAATATGCTTCCTGACTTATACTTTGAAAGGTCTTTTGGGCTGGGGATGTGGCTCAAGCGGTAGCGCGCTCGCCTGGCATGCGTGYGGCCCAGGTTCGATCCTCAGCACCACATACCAACAAAGATGTTGTGTCCGCCGAGAACTAAAAAAATAAATATTAAAAATTCTCTCTCTCTCTCTCTCTCTCTCCTCTCTCACTCTCTCTTTAAAAAACAAAAATTAAAAAAAAAAAAAAGAAAGGTCTTTTGGCTACAGTGTGAAGAATAGGCTACTGGGGAGTAGAAGTAGTATCAGAGAGACTAATAATTCAAGCAAGCGATTGAGGCCAATATCTAATGATGGCTTGGCGTAAGATGGTAGCAGTAGCAGTAAAGATGAAGAAAAGGGACAGGGTTGAGATAGGTTTGGATGGTGAAAACAATAAGAGTTATGAATGAATTTGAAGTGGTAGGGAAAAGTGAGGAAACCAAGATGGCTCCTCAATTTTAGGAATTGAACAAATGATAGATGGCAGCAACTTAAACTATGCTAGGTACCACTGGATGGATATAAGTGGGGAAACCAGCAAGAAAGGCAGGGCATTAGATAGAACTTCCATGCAAAACCTACTTTCCTTCTGCCAGTGGGAAGAGCAGCACCGAGGGCGGAGCTGTGAGGATTTCCAGAACTGGAAACGCACAAATGACCCAGAATACCAGGCCCAGGGCCTGGCAATGTATCTTCAGGAAAATGGCATTGGTAAGGCTGCCTCTCTGGACCTGTCTACTCAATAGTCTGTCATTGGCAGTAGCTCTCTTCTTGAGGGCCTTGAGTTGCAGTGGCAGCTCCAGCCCTAATCTAGTGTCCCTTACAGACTGCCCCAAATGCAAGTTCTCATACGCACTGGCCAGAGGAGGTTGCATGCACTTTCACTGTACTCAGTGCCGCCACCAGTTCTGCAGTGGCTGCTACAATGCCTTTTATGCCAAGAATGTGAGTTCAGAGAATGGGGAAGGAAGAGAAGGGTGAAGGGTGGGGGGCTGCCATTGGTTTGAGGGACAGAGGCCATTGAGGAGTGACCCAGGTGAAGAGGAGTTCAGTGAGATGTAAAGTACTTCTCTCTCCTCTTTCCCCTTTGCTTGCTCCAGACCCTCCAGTGTCTCTATCTCCCCTCACCCCCTTACCTCTCACAAAGGGGTTCTTGAGAGTCTAGGACTCCAGCAGTCTCCAACTACCCCTCTCCCATCTGGGTTTCCACCAGAAATGTCCAGACCCTAACTGTAGGGTGAAAAAGTCCCTGCATGGCCACCACCCGCGAGACTGTCTCTTCTACCTTCGGGATTGGACTGCTGTCCGTCTTCAGAAACTGCTTCAGGTCAGAGGTCCCCAGCCTTGCTGAGTTTGCAAGTTATCCAGGAAGAGGAGACAGAGTCCAGGGTGGGCAAAATGGAAAAGGCTGTATGTATGCTAGGAGATGCAACAGTGACTGGCATCAGGGGACATAATGCCTATCTGTCTTTGCCCTTCCTCAGGACAATAACGTCATGTTTAATACAGAGCCTCCAGCTGGGGCCCGGACAGTCCCTGGGGGTGAGTATCAGTACAGTCTCTGAGAAGGGAAGGTAGTGAGTTGGCTCCTACCATGCSGTAGGTAAAGTGGGGAGTCTTGTGTCTGGAATCACTTGAGTGCCTTTTGACAAGTTAATTAACCCCCTCATATCTTGTTTCTTCCTCTGTAAAATGAGAGTAATAATACCCTCCATGCAACTAAGCTATTTTATGTAAAAGATCATTAAAGCAGTGGTCCTTAATGCTGAGTTTTTTCTCACATTCTCAAATGGTAATGATTCATAAATGATAATGATTCATTAATTAACTCCATGAATAATGAGGCCCGCTAGCTGAAGGGCACTGTTTTGGGTTCCTTGGGGGCAACAGAAAAATGTTACATAAGATTCTAACCTGCCTTACTTCTCATCATCTAGATAGAGGTAAGATCTCCTCAGAATAAGTTAACTGGTTATGCTGGAGCTAAATAACGACCAAGAGAGCTGTTTCATGGGCCAAAAGTCAGCYTGGATAAAAGTAGGAAGAGCAAGGTCCCTGCCTCTGTACGCTGCTGATGGCGTCTCTGAGTATCTCCCACAGGAGCAAGAGTCCCTGTTTTCAGTCCCCTGTCTGGAAGCTTCCTTCCCATGCTGCATGCATATCCCAGTTCTCCAGGGGCTTTGTGGTCAATGAGCTTCTCCTAACCAAAGGTTTCTTCTCTTACCCTTAGGTGGGTGCCGAGTGATGGAGCAGAAAGAGGTTCCCAATGGTCTCAGGGATGAAGCTTGTGGCAAAGAAACCCCACCTGGCTATGCCGGCCTCTGCCAGTAAGTGCCAGGCAGGGCATGGAGCATGATATTGGAAATGGGGAAAGAAATGGTGAGGGTATGCCCAGGCAGTAAAATGGGAACAGTAGATCCTACAAAGAGTAGACAAGGGCATGGATGGGTAGTAGCAGGCAGCATACACTTGTTGGCTCTGCCTAGTCTAGCTTCCCTGAGGATTCCAGTGTTCATCAAGGTGCTAGGCACACTCAATTAATATTAGCCAATAGAAGAACAAATAGTCTGCTCTTTCATATCCCCAGGGCACACTACAAAGAATATCTTGTGAGTCTCATCAATGCCCACTCATTGGACCCAGCCACCCTTTATGAGGTCGAGGAGCTGGAGACGGCTACTGAGCGATACTTGCATGTGCACCCCCAGCCACTGGCTGGAGAAGATCCCCCTGTCTACCAAGCCCGCTTGTTACAGGTAAAGCCTTCACTCAGCCTTTCCCTTGACACCACCCTCTGGAAGTCTCCTGTCCCATCCTGTTTCTGATCTCCAGGCTTCTGTTATCATTATCCTTTCTCCTTCTACAGAAACTGATGGAAGAAGTGCCCTTGGGACAGAGTATCCCCCGAAGGAGGAAGTAACTGAGGGCAAAGGTCCTGATGAGGGTCTTGTGGCCCAGCTCCCTCAGGAACAGCTCCAGCACCAATAAAGAGGCATCTTATTGCCCCAGCTTCTTGGTGGTCCTTCTTCCTGGCCCCACCATCTAGGGGCACCAGGGAAAGGGGGGTGAACAGAGTTTGCTTAAAGGGCCCCCTGCAGCCTACCATCTGATTCACTCTGGACCCAGGGCAAGGAAGAAATTGACATATGGATGGGCAAGTGAGGACCTCCCCATCCAACCACCCAGCCTAGGCTTCTTCCGTTCCTTTCTCCCTTCATCATTCCATCAAATTCTGCTGGTATTTGAGGTCCCCAAGAGGGCACTATGGGGGAACACAGATGTGCAACACAACGATCCAGAGGAAATGGCCTCACTGGGGAAGCAGCAACATCACACAGAGAAGGTTAGATATAAGAAAGGAGTGTAAGAGGGAAGAAGAAGAGAGGAAGGAGCCAGACAGGAGTTGAGCCTGTAGAAAGTGGTCCTCCTTTGCTGACAGTGGAATTGACAGTGAGGCTCTCAGATGTTGCTTCCCCCTAGTGGTAGCCAGTTGCCCTACAACTCAGACCATGTGATTTCTGGGAAAAGGACCTCCCAGGAGGAAATGAAACTTAGAGGGTGGGGACTGTAGAGAGGGGTGGAGAAATCAGACTGCTTAGGCTCAAGCAGAGTTAAGGCTCTCCGATCTCTGAGGCACAGCAATTCAGGTAAGAGCAGACAAGATGGATTTTTTTCCTGGGATCTGGAGCTAGTAGGGGTTGGTGGCTCCTGGGACGCTTCTGCCAGGCAGAGAGAGAAAAGCCTGAGAGTCAGTAGGAGGTTTGGCCTGAGTGAAAAACTGATAAGGGCCAGTACCCTAGGCCCCTGTAGGCAAGGGCCATAGAAAAAACTCATTTGTCTATGGAGGAAGGTTCTTGGCCCAACCTCAGATTACCCTGTTTATTTTCTTGCTTTTTGGCCCTGCCCACTTATGCTGAAACTCCACCCCTATCTCCCCCCTCCTCATGGCCCCTGGGCAAAGGAGAGATAGGATAAATTTTAAGAGTGGCAGGTGCAAAAGTTTGATGGACATCTCAGAAGGATATAGCTTCTGCAGAAATTTAGCAATCTAGACAGAGCCTCTGACCAGAACATCAAGGGAATTCTCTCCTAAACAATACATATCTGAAAAGTCTTGAAATTAAGACCTGTGGTTTCCTTCCAAATATCAACTCCAAACGTTAGAGCTTAGTTTGTTTTTTGTTTCTTTTTTTTTTTTCTTCTTCTTGGTACTGGGGAATTGAACTCAGGGGTGCTTAGCCATTGAGCACCTTTTTCACTTTTTTTCCACTTTGAGGCAGTATCTAGCTAAGTTGTTTAAGGACTCCCTAAGTTACAGTGGCTGGTCTTGAATTTGTAATCCTCCTGCCTCAGCTCACAAGTTGCTGAGATTACATGTGCCACCATGTCCAGTGAATTTTTAAAAAATAATAATTGTTAGTGATAGCAGAAACAAAATAATTTTGCCTCAGAGAATATAGAGGTATGTCTAGAGCCAAAAGAAGATGCATGGGTCTGAGCTATTGTTAGAAACTCACCTCAGTGGTCAGAATCTTAACAGATGTTCTCTCACAGTGTTAGTTCTGATGCTTCTTGCTCCTCTTATCTCTCAGGATGGCAACAGGCAGGGCACGTTCTACGCGAAAGCTCCGGAATTGGGTGGTAGAGCAAGTGGAGAGTGGGAATTTCCCAGGAGTGTGCTGGGATGACACAAATAAGACCATGTTCCGGATTCCCTGGAAGCACGCAGGCAAGCAGGACTTTCGGGAGGACCAGGATGCTGCCTTCTTCAAGGTGAAGGGCCTGGAAGCCACCATCCCCCCCAAGCAAGAAATGGAGTATACCATGGCATACTTCCCCTTGAACACCTTTATCTACCTGGATTTCAGACAAAGAGCATATTGGAGAGTAGAACCAGCTGTGTCATTTGCAGAGCCCAGTACAAAAGGAAAATGCAGAGCCCACATTAAACATTTATTAAGCATTGCAAGATGGCAACATCAGAACACAAACCCATTCCAAGCCCATCTGAGTTAAGGGCCTATGCAAGTGCTCAGGCTGCACACCTGTAAAGCCAATAGTGTTGGAGGGACAGCTGATATATGTGACATGTTGTCTCTTCTTTGCTTCCTCTCTTTACTAGGCCTGGGCTATATTTAAGGGAAAGTCCAAGGAGGGCGACATAGGAGGCCCTGCTGTCTGGAAGACTCGCCTGCGCTGTGCCCTCAACAAGAGTCCAGAATTTGAAGAAGTTCCTGAGAGAGGCTGTATGGATGTTGCYGAACCCTACAAGGTATATCGGCTGCTGCCACCAGGCACTCTCCCTGGTAAGTGTTCCCTTGTTGAACCCTTCCTAGAATCAGCTGCCTGGAGCAGAAAGATGGAGATACGAGTCTCTTGGGAAGGTGGTGGTTCTCCCCCTGGCCTCTCAGAGTCTGCCCTGTCCCTACCTTTGGGAAGCTGCTATCCAGATTCCCTTTCCAGTTCTGCCCATCCTTTCACACTATAGACCTCTCCTCTACCTTCTTTTCCTGTCTTTCCTCTCAACAATTCCACAGCCCAGCCAGAGACCCAGAAATCACCATCAAAGAGACGCCACAGTTCCGTGTCCTCTGAGAAGGAGGAGGAGGAGGATACCTCGAACAATTGCACACTCAGTCCCAACTATCTCCAGGACCCCCTCAATAATGTGAGAGCTGGGTGGTGGTGGTAAAAGGTGGGAGAGTTAGGGGATGATAGTAAAGGGTGGGCCTAAGAGCAGTACAGGAACTAGAGAAATGGGCTCATGATAGATGCTATATCTGCAGGAGGTAAGGACTAATGGGGAAGCAAGCCACTCAGACAGTAGAAGCAGTAGCAGTAGCAGCAGCAGCAGAAGCAGCAGCCCTGAGTCACAGGAAGGTACTACCTCCCCTGCCTCTGTGTTGTCTGCCTTACCACATCCTCTGGCCCTTGGACTCCCCAGTTCCACTCTGAATAACCAGTGTCTCTGTTTCCCTTCCAGGTGTGGATACCACTGAGGCTACTGTTCAAGAGGATCAGGTATCCATGGAGCATCTCCCCCCTCTGAACTCAGGTACTTGGCATTTCTGACTTTTTCCTGCTCCCTTTCCCTCAGATCTGCTTCCTTTGACTTTGCATGCATGTCTAGTCCACCAGTTACAGCAAACTGAGCCCACCTTATTTAGACAGAGGCACTGGTTTCTAGGCAGTGAAAATTCCATGTACTTGGCCAGACCCCACCCTACATGCTCTGTTCCCTGGATATCCATGTTGAGACATTGATTTCTTTGGGTTTAGCAGAGGCCCAGTCTTCAGGGACCTTCTTGTAAAATGTAAGACCTCATCCTCAAGTTTATAAATTGCATGAAGTAAGCACTGATATGGGTGAACCCATATGCTAGCTGATTTTCTGAATAACAAGAAAACCCAATAGGAAGCTCCTAACTAGCCACCTCAGAAAGTGCAGTTGCTGCCCTAGCCCTAGAGCCTCCTTTGTGTTCCCCAGCCTTTGTTTGGTTTCCCTTTCTGGACCTCATTAGCAAAATGAGGACATAAGATGGCAAGAAGCTCTACTTCGTTTTCTTAAAGCCCGTGTTGACCAGGTGTATCCCTGGGGGTAGAGGCTGCTATAGCCTGCATGCTCCTCCAGGACCTGGTGCAGCTCTGCTTTTCTGTCCCCAGACTACTCGCTGCTGCTCACCTTCATCTACAGTGGGCGTGTGGTAGGTAAAGCCCAGGTGCACAGCCTGGACTGCCGCCTTGTTGCTGAGTTCTCAGACTCCAGGAGCAGCATGGAACAGGTTGTATTTCCCAAGCCTGATCCATCAGAGCCCATCCAGCGCCTCCTGAGCCAGATTGAGAGAGGCATCTTGGTGGCCAGTAACTCCAGAGGCCTCTTTGTACAACGCCTTTGCCCCATCCCCATCTCCTGGAATGCACCCCAGGCCCCACCTGGGCCAGGCCCGCATTTGCTACCCAGCAATAAGTGTGTAGAGCTCTTCAGGACCACCTATTTCTGCAGAGGTAAGACTGCTCCAGCTGGGTACTTAGGCCTTGCCCCCTAGCTCTTAATATTCCCTGGGTCTGATTTGATGGGTCCTGCCACCAGCCTGTCCAGCAGATCCTCACTGTAACCTGTGCACATCCAGTGTAGTCATAAACTCATCCCTGGCAGCTCTCCTTCCCTAGCCAAGGTCATGGAAGATTAGTTTCAGGTGGAGCCTAGTATGAGAGTCACATTTTGGGGAACATCATCACTTTGAAGGATACTGTAATTATATGAAGTTGAGTGAACAAGTCAGCACAGAGATTTTGACCCTTGGGGCCATCTCCTACATACTCACTGGCATATACAACTCTGCATGTGTGGGAGAGCCAGTGTACCTTATATGCCCTGGTGCACTGCCCCTGTCTCTGCCACACTCCAGTTATCCTCTAAAGCTATCTCTCTCTTCCATCCAGTCTTGTAATTCTAGTTGCCTCCATTCAACTCTAAATCTGACCTTAGGAATGGGGTCAAGAACACAGGAGATAGAGTATGGGTGTTCCCAGATCTGTGGGTACCCTAGTGCTGGAAGGGTGTGAGCAAGCAACAAAGGTGTTAGCAACCAGGGCTGCTGCCTTTGAGGATGCTAAACTCTCAGTGGAGAATTTTTCAAGTTGAGCTGCTACCTCTAAACACTTTTTGAGGAACGGGCCCCCTTTCCTATTTGCACATGGGCAAGTAGCAGCTTAGTTTATAGCATTCCTCCTATCCCACAGCTCCTTCTTTGGCCTTGGTCTCCATGTGGGCTCACTCCTAACTCTATTTCTCCAACATGGATTCTTTGATAGTCCTTCCTTGTCTGTGGACCCTCTCTCTCTCTCCTCYCCCCCCCCCCCCGCTTTTGGTACTGGGGATTGACCCACAGGTACTCTATCACTCAGTTACATCCCCAGCCCTTTTTATTTTATTTTGAGACAGGGTCTCACTAAGTTGCCAAGGCTAGCCTTGAACTTGCAGTTTCCTGCCTCAGCATCCCAAGTCACTGGGGTTACAGGAGTGTTCCATCATACTCGGTCTTCTCTCTCTGTCTTTCTAACCTTTGTCCCTTTATCTTTTAGATTTGGACAGGTACTCCCAGGGCCTGGGCCCCCTACCCAAGTTCCAGGTAGCACTGCATTTCTGGGAGAGAAGCTCTGACCCCAACAATACCTCACAGAATCTTATCACAGTGCAAGTGAGTTCAGAGCAGGGGCAGAATAACCTGTCTGCTGGGGAGAGGGGAAGAGGTATTCAAGAAGAAGGGGTCTTCTTTGTGGGAAGGGAGCTCCTGGGGGTAGTGTCTGTCCTGCTGTGTTCACTGAGCCCTGTTCCTCATCTCTTCCTGTACAGATGGAGCAGGCCTTTGCCCGACATTTACTGGAGAAGAGGAGCAGGCAGCCACTTTTATCCTGCTGTAGTCTAGGGGACCCACCTGCTGCCTCACCTCTCTATTCCTCCTTTCTCCTTTGAAATAAACTCATGCTTCACTCTGTTTTACTGCTTCCCCTTGTGATAATGGTCATGGCTGTAAATTATGTCCTTGAACTGCTTACCCACCCTGGCTCATGAGAAACTCAAGGATTATTTTTGTCCTTTTAAAAAAACATACTCTCTTTTATCTCTAAGGAACTGGGATATTCCAAGTGGTAGAAACTCAAGGGGGCCTTTCCCTTTTCACCCAACCTCCAATTCAAAAGCCAAGCACTTTACATTTTCTTCCTACATCTCCAATAAGGATTTAAAATAAAAATTTTATTGAAAGATGAATCAGTATCTGATTTGTTGGAAGAAGAAGGTGGCACTTGGGTTCTTTTCCTCCTGACATATCTAGGCCCCTTTGCTCTACTCCACCCATACATACTAGCTGGGACACTGTCTGGGCTCTGTGGGTTCTGGACCTGGCATTCTTCAGAGGGGTACCCAATAGGTAACCAAGATAAGGGAGAGGTTGGAATCATCCCCCAAGAGGGTATGGGCCTATAGACAAACAGCCAGACATTACAGCCACCATCTTCACATTGGAAGATCTGGGCTCCAGTTTTTTGCTAGACACCTCTACTTCAGGCCTGGGTTGGGTTGAAGGAGGAGATACTTGAGGTTGACCTGAAACTATGGTCTAGAAGCCCTGGGACCTGGGGATAGAGGGAAGAGAGGGAAGAGTTGCTGAACCTCTTGTGCTTGTTGCTCCTGTCTCTGTGGGGCCATATCAGACCCTGATGCTTTTCCTCCAGCACAGAGTATACTGTCACCCAACAGGAGGTCATGGTGGTGCATGCCTATAATCACAGCAATTCAGGAGGCTTGAGGAGGAGGATCAGAATGTTGAGGCCAGCCTAGGCAATTTAGTAAAACCCTGCCTCTAAAAAAAAATAATGGCTAGGAATATGGCTCAGTGGTAAACTATACTTGTCTAGCATGGGTGGGGCCCTGGGTTTCATTCCCAATAACACACACACACAAACAAACAAACAAAAAAGTTCTTCCAGACTGGATTCCTTGTTCCACCTGAGACCCATAAAAGACCACCTGGCCTAGAATGTCTTGTTCCCAACACCTTGTTTGCTGAAATCTGTGGACTCCAGATTGGCTGACACTCCTCTCCCTTACTCCATGTTCATTTTACCACCAAACTGGAAGTTCTTCCTTTACATGGCCACTGTCATTCACTTTTCTGAATATTCACTTCCACTAGACTAATTCCAGTCCAGGTCACTTGCTCACCTGACTTGTCAGAGCCTCTAGCTTTCCCTTTCCTGCACATGATACCAGATTGGTTTTCCAGACTCCTTCCTGCTCTATCACTCTTATAAACCCTCAGTGGCTCACCTTCATGATCAAATCTAGATACCTAAACRCTCTTAGGATCTCACTATCCCAATCGATCAGCCTCAGTGCTGCCTTGGAGCCTTTCTGCCTCCTACACTTCCCTCTTTCCTTTGGTCTATCCATTCTCCTCCTGGGAAGTCAAGAGCCTAAACAGACATCCGCACTAGCAGCAGAGAAAGATACTGAGTACCCAGGTGCACAAACCTTTTTGTGCCCTCAATTTGCTGAAATTATTTCCTTTACTTCCGTCTTCTCTCATCCCACATCCAGTCCATCAGTAWATCTTTTTATTTAAAAATATATCCAGAATCTGACTTCTCTCTGCTTCCACCACTACCACTTTGAAACAAAACAAACCACCATGATCTCTAATTCTCTTCTTTGCTTCCTTCCACATCTCTTTTTCCACTCTTGTCTGTCTTYAGCCTATTCTCAAGGCAGCAGAGATCTTCATTGGCATATAAATCTGCTCATAACTTTCCATTGACTCCCAACCCCCTCAAGGTAAAAGACCTTTACAACATCCTGTTTTGTGGCCCTCTGCCTCTCTCTCTATCCCCTGCACCCCCACATACTTGGGACATGCTACATACTTGCCTTGCACATGCTACATGCTAGGCAAGTGCTCCATTACTGAMCTACTTTCTCAGTGCCTCGCTAAGTTGCTGAGGCTGGCTGGAACTTGTGATCCTCCTGCCCAGCCAAGTTAGCTGGGATTACAGATGTGCATAATCACACCTAGTTCCAATTCTCTCCAACCTCGCCCTTTGTCATTCTTTCCCTCCATTGCTTTGCTCTAGGCAGCCTCCTTGAATCCACCAAACACGTTTCTACCTTAGGATCTAGGATCTTTTTTATTTTATTTTTTGGTACCAGGAATTGAACTCAGGGGCATTCAACCCCTGAGCCACATCCTCAGCCCTATTTTGTATTTTATTTAGAGACAGGGTCTCACTGAGTTGCTTAGCACCTCACTTTTGCTGAGACTGGCTTTGAACTCACAGTCCTTCTACCTCAGCCTCCCGCGCCACAGGGATTACAGGTGTGCACCACCACACCTGGCTTACTTTAGGGTCTTCGCACTTGCTTTTTTTTTTCTTTTTTGTCTAAAACTCTCTTCCTTTAGGTAATCATATCATCTCTTCAGAGAGGGTCTCCCTGAGGAAGCTATTTCCTCCCCAAATAGTTCTTATCCTCCTATGCTCATTAGGGTTTGTCCTCCTTCTGTGTCATTATTTTTCATTGTAGCACTGACCACTGTTTCGATATATTTGCCTACCATTTATCCTCTCCTTTCCTTTTCCTTGAAAACAAGGATTTGTTTTTTTCCTTGCTGTATCTCCAATGACTAGAGGAATACTTGGCACATAGTAGACATGGAATAGGCACATAATTAATACCTGTCAAATTGAATGACTAGCTGAATGAATGAACACATTAATATATGTTCTTTGCTCATCTCCTAAACTAGGTTCTAAGCAACTTCAGGGTAGGTGCCCCCACTTCATCTTTGAATCCCAAAGTATTTATAAACATCAACAACTTGAGTACAGTGCTTGAAACAATTTGTAAGTGTCATGTGGAAACTAGTTTAGCCAATCACAGTGGAACAGGGATTTGGAACACTGGAATTTAAGAGAGCAGCATTCCCAACCAGGTTTTCACTAGGGAGCTGCACAGGCTAGAAGAAACAATCATAGTGGATTTCTGCTTTCTCATGTGTAAAGGTAGGGCTTGAACTAAATAGCTAAGGCAAGTGTTTTTTGATGTTATTCTTTTGTTTTGGGGGTGTGAGGAGCCTAGAGCCTCACACATGCTAGTAGACATGGACTAGATATCTAAATTCCTTTCAGCATTGACATTCTGATTGTAAATATAGGGCAACTGCACAATTATGTGACAAACACTCACTGCTCTGGATGCCTGATAATCCCTACAAAAACAAGATCCCAATCTCAAGAGTTCCCCAATTGAAGGGGACTATAAAAAGGTAGGGTCAACTCAGCTGCAACAAGAACTAAAAGTCTTATACCAGAGTCTGCCAAGAATCGATTCAAGAAAGATTMAAAGAAATGACTGTGCAAAGGTCATAGGCTCAGGAGTAGCAAGGGGTATTTACAACTACAACCATACTACCTAATTGTGTAGTGGGAGGTGTTTGCTGGCAATGGAACCCAGGGCCTCATGCTATGCAAGCACTCTACCCCTAAAGGACATCCCCAGGCCCTTTTATTTTTGAGACAGAATATTAAGTTGCCCAGGCTGACTTCAACCTTTCCATCCTCTGCCTCACCTTCCTAAGTACATGCATAGGACTACAGGCATGTGCCAAAACGCCTGCCCATACCATTTCATGTTAACAAATAATTGTTTGAGCCAAATAGCTTTTATAGACCAAAAAATATGCACTGCATTCAACAAAGCTCTGAAGCCCATTTCAGCCAAAAGAACGTTCACAACTCAAAAAGACCAGATGAGGCATGCCCCCAACCTAAGTTGTTCAACTTTAGGAAATGATCCTTGCTATTTCCTGTGAGATGGACTTATTCCTCTTGGACCTCTAAGGCCACCTCACACTGTACCTCCCTAGCATAGCATAGGCCCTAGTTGGACACAAAATTGGACTTGGAATTTGGAAGAAAGGGCAGGGTCTATGCATGGGTCAAGCGTCCTTAAGCCTTGGCAACCCAAGAAGGTAGGGTAGTTGCCCCCGAAGTGACCCCACCTTGCCTACCAATTGAGACACTTTGTTACCAGACCTGGCGCCAGCTAGAGCCTGGTTTGCTTCCCGCTCATTGGCCAGAGAAGCTCCTCAGAGAAGTCCTTGTTACTACAGGCGAGAATGAGAGCCCATTGGCCAGGACACTTCACAATGCCCAAACGGCCTTCAGGGTTCTTCGGATTGGTTCGCTGTCTTGTCTCAATGACCCTATGGCCTGGAACCCTGGCGGGCTGCTTGGTGCCAGGAACAAGCGCTCCCCTCAGACGCCAGCTCCCCATTGGCTGTCCTGGCACCGCCCTCCCAACCAGGAGCTAGGAGCAAAGCCTCAGAGCGCGCTGCCTGAGGCCAGACCTAGTACCACGGGAGAGCGACCCAACCGAGTGTGAGACCGAGGAGCTCGGCCTGTCTCCCTGGCCTCGAAGGTGAAGGCCTGCTATAGAGGACGCTGTGCTCCCTGGGGACCTGCTCTGTCTCCCAGCGCGGGGCCTTCCCCTCGGAGCTCCAACCTGGAAACCAACCCCGAAGGCTTCAGTAAGTTTGACTAACCCACTTAGGTGCGAACCCACTTAGGTGCGGCGGAGAGAGGCGTCCCAACTCTGCGAATCTGCCGTTACCCCTTAATTGTTCAACCAGCAGCTGTTGATCGCTTCATTAATTTAGTTTTCTGGGTCCACCCCACCGTGCCACTTGTCTAAATCCTTATTTTTCTCTGATGTGCTGGAATCTTGTGCCCTAAAGTATCCCGATTGAGATCCTAATTGGGAAGTGGTGGAACCGAGGGTGAAACCCCAGAGGGACGATGTTCTACTATCCCAACGTGCTTCAGCGCCACACTGGCTGCTTTGCCACTATCTGGTGAGGGCCAGACTGGTGGGAATGCCGGGAGAGGTAACCGGGGATCCCAGACTAACGGCTTCCTCTCATACTCACCTTCCCACCCGCTCCAGGCTGGCAGCTACGCGCGGCAGCCGGTTGGTGAAGCGTGAGTACCTTAAGGTGAACGTAGTGAAGACCTGGTAAGGCCCAGAAAAGGCGGACAAGGCTGTGGGGCGGGTGCTGGGTGCTGATGATTAGGGTATATTGTTTCCCCAGTGAGGAAATCCTCAATTACGTGCTGGTGCGAGTGCAACCTCCGATGCCGGGCCTGCCGCGGCCGCGTTTCTCCCTCTATCTCTCCGCGCAGCTCCAGATAGGTGTGATCCGAGTCTACTCTCAGCAATGCCAGTACCTCATTGGTAAGGCTGGGAACCCTAGAGATGCGGCAGAGCTGAGTGGCCCTCTGCTAAGCTGGCTCTTTACTTTGTCCTTCCTGCCCACAGAGGACATCCAGCACATCCTGGAGCGCCTGCACCGTGCCCAACTACAGATTCGCATTGATATGGTGGAGGCTGACCTGTGAGTGTCCCACGGGAACTGGGATCACGGCAGACTGGATGGAGCACCTATCTTCTTCTTGGCCTCAGCCTATCTCAACATCCATCCTTGACAAGCCCACATTCTCTCCCAGACCCAGTCTGCTGCTTCCCAACCACCTGGCCTTGATGGAGACCCTAGAAGATGCTCCAGACCCCTTTTTTGGGATGATGTCCGTGGATCCCAGACTTCCCAGCCCCTTCGATATCCCTCAGGTAGAGGTTATTCTAGAACACCTCAAAGTTTGACAGAAGGGGAGCAGTATCACTGTTGTCTAAAACTGGGGTTCAGGAAAAAGCCTGCCATAGCTCTTCCCCAGAAGAGATGGGGAGGGCACTAACATGGTAAGTCCATATAGGCAGAGCCCCCTGTATTTGCCTCCTCAGGGCCAACCTGCTAGGATGATCTCCTTGCTGGAGATAGCTCTGTCCCTACTCATTTCCACATTGTTCCCACTGCCAAGGCTCTAATCCAGTTCCTCATCATCTGTGCACTGGTGTTCCTTACCCCAGTCCTCCTTTATCCATTCTCAACACTCCCACAGCTTAGATAATGTCATTCTGTTTCCTGGTTCCAGGCTGCAAACAGTACAAGCATTTGGAACTCTGCATACCCAGTTCTGAGATAGCCACCTTCCTACTTTTCTCTCAGCTGCCCCTGAGGTATCCTTGGCTCCCAAACATCAATTTAGTCCACGTCCCAAAGATGCAACATTCACTTCTTTGCCTATCTAAAAGAAGTGTGTCCCTAGCCTATAATGGTCACTCTTCATTCTCTACTAGTCAGTTTCTACATATACAGACCAAGCTCAAATGCTTTTTTTTTTTTTTATACCAAAGATTGAACTCAGCGATGCTTAACCACTGAGCTATACCCCTAGCCTTTATTATTTGTTTTGAGACAGGGTCTTACTGAATTGCATAGGGCCTCACTAAGTTGCTGAGACTAGCTTTGAACTTGTGATCCTCCTGCCTCAGCCTTCTGAGCCGTGGGATTACAGGTACATGTGCCACTGCACCTGGCTTGTTTTATCCTTTGCATCAACTCTTGTTGGGGTCATGTAGAAACAGGTCATCTGCTCAAAATCAAGAATCTTTGCTGTTTACTTCTGTCCCCCACAACAGTTGACATAAGGATGCAGGGCTTCATGCACAAACTGACAAAGGCTTGATAATTTGGGGGTGAGGGCAGGAAGAAGAGGAAAGGAGAGCAGATGGTGAGTGGATTTATTGCAAGCTAATATCAATGCCACAAGAATTAGGGGTGTAGCTCAGTAACTGAGCATTTGCYTTGCATGGAGGAGGCTCTAGATTCCGTCCCTGGGACCTGCTGCCAAATAATTAGGTATAAAGGGAGATTACCAACTGCTGACCATTGAATACTGTGAAAGTGGGAAAGCAGAGGATTGAGGCTGAACCATATCTTTTGTTCTATTTCCTCTTCAAAGATTCGACATCTTTTAGAGGCTGCAACTCCAGAGAGAGTTGGTGAGAAGACCCCTCCTGAAGTCTCTACAGAGCCCAGGAAGCCAGGTCAGCAGAGAATCTTCCTGGTGAGAGGCATAGGAAGGTCCAAGAGCTGAAGAAATAGCTATCTTTGAGCTTCTTTTAATAGACAGGCCCTGTGAGGAGCACTTTATGTGTGAAACTTATCACTGTCTCACAAGAGTCCTATGGGGCTGGGCATGCCTGTAATCCCAGCAGCTTGGAAGGCTGGGGCAGGAAGGTCACAAGTTCAAAGCCAGCCTCAGCCAAAGCAAGGCATTAAGCAACTCAGTGAGACCCTGTCTCTAAATATAAAATAGGGCTGGGGATGTGGCTCAGGGGTCCTCAGCCAAAGCAAGGCATTAAGCAACTCAGTGAGACCCTGTCTCTAAATAAAATACAAAATAGGGCTGGGGATGTGGCTCAGGGGTCGAGTGCCCCTGAGTTCAATCCCTGGTAACAACAAAAAAGCAATGCAGACAGGGTCAGGCCAGTTGACTGGACTGGTTCTGACTAGAATCTAACTTAACTCAGCTCTGTAGTCCATGCTTTTGATCACCACTGAACCGAGAAATAGTATGGGAACTTGAAAACAGGCAGAGGGGCTGGTGTGTGACTTCCCTCCCCCTCCAGACAGGATCTTGGTTACTGTGCTGTCTCCTGAGGCCATCACCCTCCAGGAGGCAGAGCCCATACGTATGCTGCAGATCGAGGTGAGTAATCCCCTAGCACATGGGGCCTCAGCCCCTTGCATCTGTTTCTCTCTGCCTGGGCTTGTAGCATGCTTCTTAGATCCACTCTTCTAGATCCACTTGCCTTTTTCAGAATTGGGACTGAGTCCCTTCCTAAGCTTTTCCTCTTTTGACAGGGTGAACAGGATCTCCCGGAGGTCAGCCGCCGAGACTTGGACCTGCTGATTGCAGAGGAGGATGAAGCTATCTTGTTAGATGCATCCCAGGAAGGCAGGCCTAGGAAGCGGAGGGCTCGTCTGGCTCTGGATGGTCAGAACCCTAGCACCAGCAGTCTGGGGCTTGGCAGTGCTCCCATTTCTTTCCTGCCCTCTGAGCTCTGATCTCTCTGCAGAATCCAAGGAAGAACCCCGTGCCATGGAGGGTGACACTGTAGTTTCCGTGCTTTCGCCTCCAGCTCCTGCACAGTAAGGGCAGGAATCCCTGTACCAGGTAAGGGGTCAGTGCTAAGAAGGATGTCCTAAACCCACTTGCCTATTTCCCTTAAGGGTAGAAGGAATAGGAGAGCCACTTCCAGGCCAGGTCCCAGGACCTGAGGAACTTAAGCTGACAGGCTGGGAGCCTGGGCCCCTGATCACTGGTGAGTATCCACCATGCTCCTGGGCTTTTCTGGGAAGACCTCCATAGGTTGCAAATAAAGGTCCTGTATCCCAACCCACTGGAGGGTGGGGTGGGACGTAGCTTCTTGACCATGAGAGTGAAGGGGCTTGTGGGACAGAGCCAGGATCTTGGGTATTGTTGCAGAGGTGACCCCTCCACAGGAGCTGCGCCTGCCGGCCCCACCCAGCCCAGAGGTGAGCAGTGTCCTTTATAAGCCACCTCCCTTTCTTTGTCCTGCACCATTGTTAGGTTACTTGGGACTTTTATGATTAGTAAAAGATGACCCTTTCCATACCCCATTGTGTGGCTTTACTTCCCAAATGGGTACCCTCATGTAAGATATGTGCTGCACAAGTGTACAGAAGCCTTGCCCAAGATCCTACCCCAGGCAGAGTATGAAGCCATTAGCAGCCCATCAAGATGACAAGAAAAGGAGTGTTGTGTACCCATCTCCCCTTCCACTCAGCTGAGGAGGCCCCCACCTCCTGGGAGCCCTCCTACTCGCCGACGCCGACGCCAGTTACTGTTCTGGGACAAGGAGACACAGATCTCACGAGAGAAATTCCAGGAACAGCTGCAAACCAGGGCCCACTGCTGGGAATGTGTGAGTGCAGCCCAGGGAAAAGAGGGACACAGGTCAGACTGGGCCTTTTAAACTCATCAGGGGGAGCTCTGGGAATCCAAAGAAAACTCACTTGGTTCCTTAGTGCATGTGGATTTGCACATGCACTCAAGTCTCCATGCACTTCTGGTTAAAAAGTCCTTTTAGAAATGAGGAAAGTAGAGGGAAGTCAAGAGGCCGAGGCACAATATGTAGCAGAGGTGAAGTGGCACTGAAGAGGCACATAAGGGGCTTCTGGTCTTCCCCCACCATACAGCCAATGGTGCAACCTCCAGAGAGGACCATCGCAAGCCCAGCAGAACTGTTCCGAACTCCAACTCTCTGTAAGAATGGCAGCAGTTGGGCACATGGGATCTTTAGAAGCAATATTCCTCACTCTTAGTGTTTCTTATAACTCAAACCCAGTCCCCTTATCCTCAGCTGGCTGGCTACCCCCAGAACTACTAGCTTTCTGGACCCGCTGTGCCCAGGTACCCCCAAAAATGCTCAGGCGAAGGCCAACCCTGGAAGCTGAAGAGGAGGCTGAAAGGGAGGCAGCAGCAGAGGAGGAAAGAAGAAGGGCTGAAACACTAAGTGAGATCGAGGTAAGTGCACCCACACCACTTCCTTTAAAGTCCCAAAGCTCTGCTTTGCCTGAGCCCCTGCAGGCTGCCTTCTGCTACAATTCAACAGTGCAGGTGCACTGAACTAGTGCCTTCTATCAGAAGCCTGAATCCAGATGCTTGGGTCTCAGTTTTTATTCTTCCACCTGCAGGTCCTAAGGGAGGCCCAGGAACCCAGTGGTCCCCTCATGCTATCTTCAGGTAAGCACCTGAAGAAGAGGAGACAGCAGATATCATACACTAAGCAATGTTTTAAGAGACTAGTGCCCCAATTGCTGAAGTTGTTTCCATCAGGCAGAGAGTGTTACACAAGGAAACAGACAGATTCTCTTCAGTTCTCCTGCCTAGGTGCTTTTCACAAATCCATATGGCTCTGGTATCTATTCATACAGGATGGACTTTTTTTTTTTTTTTGGTGGTGCTGAGGCTCAAACCCAACACTCTTAGCACCTTTTCTCCCCACAATAGAACTCTCCCTAGAAGCAGCAGAAGAGGAAAAGTCCCGCATCAGCCTTGCCCTGCCAGAAGAACGGTGGTAAGCAACCAGGCTATGTGAGCCTGGGCCAGAGGGGGTCAGCTAGGATGGCTGTGCTGACACCATTGTCATGGCCACCACCTTCCCTGCTCTGACTCCCACATTCTCCTAGGGCCTGGACTGAGGCAGAGCAGCCAGAGCCCCCTGCATTGCCAGTGGTGCCCGAGCTCCCAGAGGTGCCCGTGGAGATACCTTTGGAACTGCCCCCAGAGCCTGAGCTGCTCTCATTGGAGGCAGTGCACAGGTATACCAGGGATGGGGTACTTCAATGGGGATGGACATGGGCTAGGGTCTCAGCTAACAATTCTTGATTCTTACAGGGCAGTGGCATTGGAACTACAGGCCAACAGGGAGCCAGACTTCAATAGTCTGGTGTCACCTCTCAGCCCCCGCYGGATAGCCTCCCGGGTCTTCTACCTACTCCTGGGTTAGTGCAAGTATAACAGACACACAGGCCAGCGGCCACTACAGATACTCTTTGTGACCTGCCATCATCTTCTCTTCTCTTGACCAGTGCTCTCAGCACAGCAGATCCTTCTTGTGGAACAAGAGAAGCCATACGGGCGCCTTCTGATTCATGCAGGACCCAGATTTCACTAAGGGTAGAGCCCATTTATAAGCCTTCATTAAACAATGCCCTGCCTCACTGGGCCTTGCCTGCCTCGTTTCTGTATAAGTATCTCAAGCCTTCCAGCTCTCAGAGCTATTATCCAAGCAGAAAACAAACTGCCTTTTTTATTGTATGATGTTATGACTCAACCTGTAACAGATGCAGTCCCAGGGACACCCCTGTAAGGCAGCAAGCAGGGTTGACTCCAGTGGATGAGGCCCAAAATCTTTGGTAAGGCATGAGCAGGAACTGGGGTCAGAGGTGGTCTTAGGGCCTGGGCAGACTCTGCTCTCTGGCCCAGCTGCGGCTTGCATTCTAGGTGAGGCCCAGCACGGCTTGGAGCTCCTGAGCCTTGTCAGCAGGCAGTGAGCCCAGTGCCGTGTGGAAACTGTCCATATGTTGTTTGGCCAGGAATGTCAGGAGCAGCAGCAGTGCAGCCTTGGTGTCTGGGTGGAGTGCAGAGGGAGAGGTCCTGATGGGGGACTGCACTCCTAAATATTTACTGCCCCACACCGGTTGAACCCTGCTACTCTGGTCTTCTCCATTCCCCATCCAAGACTGCCACCCTTACCTGGTGGTATCTTGTTGTCAGCCAGAATGAGGCTGCAGATGCGCAAGAGTTCAGGAGCCACATCTACAACCTGTGGAAAAAGAGTGGTTGACTCAGGGGCAGTAGCTCCTATGGGCCCTCAGGACTAGGAGGTAGGTGGTTGGGAAAGAGGCAGTCTCCTGTCATAGCTATTTGATTCACAGGCATCCAAAACAACTGTGAACAGAGTAAGAAAATGTGGTAATAACTTTTTTTTTGGAAGGGATGGAGATGTATGACCAAGAATGACTAAAGTCATAGCCTTAAGTATAAAAGACTTTTAGACAAAGGTAACACAAGAACACTGGAACAGCTGGGCACAGGGGGTACACGCCTGTAATCCTAGCAGCTCAGAGGCTGAGGCAGGAGGATTGTTCAAAGCCAGCCTCAGAAATTAGCAAGGCCCTGTCTCTAAATTAAAAAAAAAAAAAAAGGCTGGGGATATGGCTCASTGGTCAAGTACCTCTGGATTCAATTCTTAGTATCAAAAAAAGGGGGGGGTGGTGCTGAGGTTGTGGCTCAGTGGTAGAGCACTCACCTAGCACGTGTGAGGACCTGAGTTCGATCCTCAATACCACCTAAAAATAAAGATATTGAGTCCAATTATAACTTAAAAAAAAAAAAAAAAGAACTTTTTGGTACAGACAAAATCTCATTCAGAAAGCAGAGCTATTCTGATTGAAATGACAGTGAGGTGGCTCAGAGGTACCCATGGTTCCAAAGAGTAGTTTCCTAGCCCTGGTCTAGGAAATAAGTCTAGGAAAATTTTAAACTACTAGCTCAGCCCAGAGGGTAGAAATGGAGCTAAGGGAAATAGAGGAAGCTTCTTTTCTCCTACTACAAGATGGCTTGTCAATCCTTATGGACAATTAAGAAAATGTGAAAGTAGAGCATAAGAACAGCTGGAACTCGCCTCCTACTCGCTGCACTTATCACCGGTCTATCACTGAGACTGGAGCATTATGCTCCCTCATGGGTGCTGCCAGCATTGAGGTTACCTGGTCAGGACTGTTCTGGTACAGGAAGCTGAAGAGGTGCCCCATGGTGACCCACTCCTCCAAGTCTTCCCTCAGTGGCAGGGCGTGCAACAGGGCAGCCAACACCTGGACACAAAGATGCCTTAGGCCTATTTGTCCTGCCCCTCTGCCACCCTTGGCTTCCAGACCCTGTTTGATATGCCCCTTCCTCACCTGCGGCTCTGGTTTCTTTGTCGGACTGGCCATTAGCAGACGGGCAAGGGCCCCACAGATGTTGTCACGGACACGATCATGTCGCTCCCGTGCCAGAAGAGGCAAAAGGAGGCCCAGCAGCTTGGGGAAGTGGCTGGTCCACAGTCAAGGAATAGGTGCATGCACACAAGTAGGCCTTGTTGTTCCGTGAACCCTTGGGACACTCTCCCAACCCCACCCTTCTAATCACCTACAAGATAAGGATACTCCTGAGCAGGGCGGCCCCCATGCTCTGCCAGTACTCCCAGTCCAAAAATGGAATTGCTCCGCACCTCAGGGTCTGCTTCCCGAGCAGTGCTCAATAGCACAGGAAGCAGCCGAGACACAAACTGAGCTGAGGCAGCACCCAGACCCTGAATGGATTCTGCTAGTGTCCCCACTGCAAAGGACTTTTCTGCCACTGTACAGCCCTGCTTCTGTTGGGGAGGAGGACAGAGGAGTGTAAATCAGCCTGGGACTAGGACACAGTTGGGGACCAGGGWTTGAAGCCTGAGGATGGAGCACTCACCGTCTTACACAGCAATAATGGCAAGAAGCCAGCAAAGAAAGGAGCAAAGTTGTCTCCCCCAGCTGCGGCGGCCAGGGCAGGGATGGCCTCTCCAGCATGCTCTAGCAACATGGCGTCGTATTCAGCCTATGGAGCCAGATTACGGGCTGGAGCACCAGGGCCAGCTCTGGGCCTGTTCACACTTTTCCACTCAGTTCTGCCACTGGCAGCAGGTGGCTCCAGGCATGGCCTTGGTTGATGGGACTTCCCAAACTTCCAGGCTAGCTTTTGTGCAACTCTGGCCCTCTTGCCCCGCATCTATTGCTCCAAGCCTGCCGAAGTCACACTGCTCTCCCCTGAACTTCACTACCTTAGTGAAATCACAGTTACATCATTCTTGCCATTACTAATCTTTTATTGGCCCTGGCTCCCCCTAGGTCAAAATGAATACACTGTCTATTCCTGATCCTGTGGAGACTACCTGGACTGCCTTAACCTGTTTTCATTTGTAGCTCTCACCTGATCATCCTCCTCTTCCTCTTCCTCATCAGTGTCCTGACAGGCTGTCTGTGGGGAGAAATAGCTCAGCTGAGTCTGGGTTCTCCTGTACCTTCTTTTCACATGGGCACAAAGAACTGAACTTATAATCTCTCATTATCCACTCCTCTGGGGCCTGGCACCTCCTCTTCCCACAGCCCCCTGCCCTACTCACCTTCCTCTGCAACACAGCCTTGAGCATGCTACAGAGCTCAGCAAGGCGCCCAGGGTGTTGCAGTGTGAGGGTTCCACAACTGCGCAGCACCCCTGTCAGGGCCTCCAGCACAGCCATTACCACCTGACGCTCTCTTTCCCCATTCACTGTCTGAATGTAGGATGGCACCACCCGGGCCAGAGCAGCCTGCAGAGCTGAGAACATTATTGGCTGAAACCTCAATCAGGCCCTGCTCCTTACCCAGAGCCCCCAGTCTGGCTTGGTCTCCCCTTCTCACCAGCATTGTTGGGTTCTGAGGGACAGCTTTGACAGGCCTTGTGCAGTGCACAGCAGAATTGACCCAGAGCCTCATAGGCTGCCTTCCGCACATTCAGATGAGGACACTGGAATGAAGAGAAGAGGTTCATACATACGCTATGTGGGGAGAGCACAGCCTCAGCCTAAGCACCTCACCCATTCCATTCAATAGGCAACTCACCTCCCGCAGTTTGAATACTTCTTCAAAGGCACTCTCCATATATGGAAGGAAAGCCACACTGTAGAGACACATGACTGTGGGGAAAGGGCTCCCAGAAGGTGTTCCCAGTGCCAGGGAAAGACTGATGCTTACCTGGTGTTCACAGAAATCTCCCCCAGGGCAGTACAGGTATCCTCCTTCTCATCAAAGAAGGCATTCTCCACACTATACCTAGATGAAGGTGGGAAGGCAGGGGTGATAAGATACCAGAAGGAGCACGTCTGGCACTAGCCTTTGTTCAAAATCAAAATCTGGATTCCTCTGAGCAGAAACACCTCTCTGTACCCTGAGATCTCCGAGTCATCCTCTTCCTCCACGTCCTCATCCATGAGCTCTTCCTCCTCTTCCTCCCCATCACTCTCATCATCAAACAGAAGGAAAGGGCTGCTTCCTTCACACTGAGGCTGGATAGAGGATGCATAGCAAGAACTTTGGCTCACTTGGGCCTAAATCACATCATAGGGCTAGCCTTACCTAACTGGCTCAGCCCACCCACCCTTCGCTTACCACAATGCCCTCAGTGGAACGCAGTGACAACAGCATGAGTGTGGTGATTTTCGACAGATGGGGTGCCAGGCCCTCACCCATTAGACCTGATAAGGCTGCAAATAGGCTGTAACTGGTAGAGAGAGAGACAGAAGCTGTATGGTGCTGCCACTGTAGCCAGACAGGATGGGAGAGCCTAGGGAAACCTGCCTGTGGTCCAAAACCAGAGGACTGGAGTCTGGGGTGGGCTCTGTGGATCCAGTGGGTGGGGAAGAGGGAAAGGGGCAGGATGAGGGGTCACTCACGTGCAGCGGCGCAAGTCAGGGTCGTCTACCTGGTCGCATAGGCCCAGCCCCAGCTGACAGCATTCCTCAGCCAGGGGCCTCATGGGCTCCCCCACTGCTCGTGCCAGTACCGCAAGTGTCTCTATGGGGATAAGGGCTTGTTGGCACTAGGATGTGCAAGTGGGCTGGGAGACCAAGGTGTAGCTGGGAGGAATTCAGAAATTCCACCCTACTCCAAGGTACAGATTGGAGGGAACACCTTTGAGAAGGAAGATGCCTGCACTACCCTGAGGGCAATGTCCGTGAACATCAGGTGAGCACTGGCCTTTCCCTGGCTCTGGGAACCCTGCCTAGGGGGCCCTTACTCACCCAGGCTCTGGATCTGCACAGGCTGAAGGTCTTCATGGCCCATCAACAGAAATCCCCGAAGATGTTCCATGATGGTGGGGAAGTAGGGCAGCAGGGAGGCCTGAGCAGCTGTGGCTGTAGAATGGAGGCCAGAATATCAAAGGTGGAACAAGGGTGGGGACCTTCTGCTACAAGGTCTTTGGGTGAACCCTGTGCCTTCCTCCTGCCTTCCTCCTCACCAATGGCTCCCATGGCGCTCACAGCCAGCTCCTTGGCCCGGGGGCTGCTGGGATTACTCAGAGGCTGCAGCATACACTCCATAAGTTCCGGAAGATAAGGCTGAACTTTGGGTCCTATAAGAAAGGGCACAGTGCCTTTCCCCAAACTTCTGCAAATCTACCTCCCTCTGGGCTGACCCTTGTGGCCATTCCATGCCCTGCCCCTTTCCCCACTACAGCCGCAATCAGAAAAATGCACATCCTGACCCTCTAGCCAAAGCTGCAGCTTCATCTCCCTCTCCTGCACACCCCACTGCCATCACTACCTAGGTTCTCCACGAAGTTCTCTAAGGCGTAGCAGGCCTTGGCTAGGTGGTGCGTGTGCCCTGGAGGCACAGACTTCAGGTAAGCGAGGAGCAGTGGCATCACCTCCCCTGAATAGCTGCTGATATGGGGCTGGGGGAAGGAGCAAGCAGGTCCAAGTCAGGTTCACCTGTAGAGCACACCCTTCAGGGCCAAGGGCAGCAAGGAGGCTTGAAGAGACAAAAGCTGAGGGGAAAGTGGTCTCTGGCCTGTGTGGGGGACTCCCAAGTGGCAGCTGTCCACATTTAACCTTGCTGACCTGTAGGTTCTCTGAGAACTGGCCCAGGGCAAACAGCGCAGCATTACGCACAACCTGAGAAGGGTCCTCCAGGCCCTTACACACAATATGCAGCAGTGGGGGTAGCAGTCTGGATGGGGCAAGAAAAGACACAGACACAGTCTGAGGGGTGGAAAACCTAAGCTGGCCTGTTCTCTTTATTTATCCTACAAAAACTAAAGCTTTCTCTGTCATCTGATTTTGGGTACCATCCACTGGTCACTAGAGCTGGGACACCATTTCATTAATCTTCTAATCCAGGATATCTTTGAAAGTGGGGGGAAATGCTATAGCAAATTAATGCTTTCAATAATTAAATCCAAGCCAAGTATAGGGCACATGCCTGTAACCTTAGCTATTTGGGAGGCTGAGGCAGGAGTTCAAGGCCAGTCTCAGCAACTTAGAACTTGTCTCAAAAAAAAGGGCGGGGGAAGAGGTAGGGACATAGCTCAGTTGCAAAGCACCCCTGGATGAAATCCCTAGCACTAAAGTTTTGGKTTTTTTTTCCCCTAAAAAATATGCTGAAACATATAATCTAGAACTACCATGGGATGTGTAGCATTCCTCCCCATGGCCCACCCTCAAACTAGGACAGGAATTTAATGGATACCTCTGCCTGATGTAGTCACCAGCTCCGTCAGACAGCACAGCCAACGCCAGGAGACCAGCCTTACGCTGGTAAGGACTCTCACTTCGCAATGCCTCTTCCAGCATGGGCATCTAAGGGAGCATATGGCACTCTACTGAAACCCTTGCAAGAGCCTGCCTACTCCTGTTGCAACAGGCCCATGACACCTACCAGGGCCCAAATATCCTTGACCTCAGGAGATGAGGGATGTCTGGGGACAGGGACATTAGAAAGTTAAGAGTTACACTAACCAATTGGGGACAGAGCTTCTCAGGTGGAAGGTGTAGGGCCAGCATGTCCACAACCTGCAAAAGGTCAAGGAGGCTTTGTTGACTCCACCTCTGCCTGTTCAACCTCCCATAGCCAGTTAACACCTTGTCCATGCCCTATTCCCACATCCTACCTGTACAGCAAAATGCTTGGGAGTCTCCCCCACTAGCCCAGTCTCCAACTCTTCCTCTTCAGAATCTTGGTCCTCAGGATCCAACTGGCCCAGAGGGGGCTCGGCAGCCATAATGGGGAAAAGGGTGTGCAGTAAGGGAGGCAGGAGACGATTTTTCAGTAAGGCCTTGAGAGGAAGAAGGGAGTACTATCCCTGAGAATCAGCTCCCAGGATGGACTCACATTAAAATTCCAGTCTTCCAGGTCACAAGGGACCCAGCAGGAGATTCCTAATCTCTTAGGCAGGAGATGGGGTAAGTCTGGGCCAGGGCTTGAACCAGGGTACTTTAGATGCCCTGAGATGAACACAAAGCCCCAACAATGAGAATAAAGGTATAAGTGGAGGTGGGGTGACAGATATCAGAGGGCACTTACCTTGCTCTTAACTTTGACCAAGAAAGTGAGGCAGCAGAGAATACGTACACGTATCGCATCACCCAGGGCCATATTTCCTGCCACCTGCCCAGAGACTAACAAAAATCAGAGACAAGCAATGATACTCCTAGAAAATCAAGTAGCAAGGGTCATGCCCACCTCAGGCTCACCTCCAAGCAGAATGTGAGGACCTCAGAGAGGTGGGGAGTGATGATGGGCACCTCTGATTCCAGCAGTTCATCTAGAGCTTCCAGGGCCTCACAGGCCTTAACCTGTCAGACAGACCAGTCATTGGGTTACCATGTTCCTCCTCTTCAGGGGAATAGGCTGGATATTCTTGTACTTTCTTCCAAAAGAAGGAGCTCCCCTCCCACCTACCCTTACCTCATCTATAGGAATCAGAGTCTTCACGGCCATGATGAGCTTGGGCACCAATGATCTTGCAAGAGGCTGGGGGACACAGGATGAGCTAAATCACAGAGAGCATGATGCAGCATAATCTCAGGCCCCAGAGGCTGGTAGCTTCCTCATATCCTGTACTCTGAGAAGGGGCCCAGGCATACCAGCCAGGCCCAGCCACCCCCACAATCCCCACAGCTGTTAGGAAGAACAAAGAGGATAAGAAGCCAAAACACCTCTGAGACCCACAKGGTAAGAAGCTGAAGGCCCCAGGATATAGAGCTGGGGGAAATGAGGGCCCACATCTCACCACATCATCAGTGCGGAGGTAGGGGGCCATGGTGGTCAGAGTGCGCAGGGAGTAGAAGAGTAGCCCCGGAGAGCCCACCTCACCAAGAGTCTCATTCAGAAGTCCAAGAAGCTCCTGGTGGTGGGGCTGGAAAGCTTCTGGCTGAGAAGTCACTACCACACTCAACAGCAAAAGCCCCATCTGTCCAGGAGAAGGGAATGGAAGGGAAAAGCTTACATGGTTTATCCAGTTTCTTGGTTCCTCCCTCCTGCCAAAAGTTTGATGGTACCTCTCTCTCAGGGCTGTGGGGGCTGTGAGTACTGTGATGAAGAAGCTGCATGAGCTGAGGCCAGGCCTCCAGGCCTTCCTTTCGAAAAATGGTGGCTGAGAGCTGGGCCAGGCTGAGGCTCACACAGTGTCTGCAAAAGGAGATTCCCCCCAGCAATTATCCTTCAATACCATCCCCTGTGCACGGTGGACCAGCCTCAATGGGGTGGCCAAGAAATTTCAGGTGTGGGCATAGGTCACTGCCAAGTTGGGATGCATGAGATCAGCTCAGAAGTAGCTCAGCAGCACTAGGGGAAAGGAGTGATCTGGAGAATTCAGCCTCAACCAGCCTGAATATCAGTCTCATTCTTCTGACCCTAGTTTGACAGATCATCATCACCCATTCTCAAGAACTTTAGTCTTTAACACAACTTTGGAATCCCTACTCTGTCCGCGATGTAGATTGAAGGCTCTGCCCCCCCAAGTCCCATCCTGGAGCTGAAAGAGAAGGCAGAAAGCTAGAGAGGGTCTCAGCCTGGAGTCAACTGGGAACCAAAGAGAAGGCGGTAGGCACTTACTCTGTCTCTCTCTGCAGGACCGTCAGGATCTGGGACTTGAAGCTGGAACACAAGTGGTAGGAGTTTGTACTCATTCTGCCCAAGAACTGCCTCATCCTAGCCTGGCCCCGCCCTACCCCGCCCCAGGCCCAGCCCACCTCTCGCGTTGCTCGGTCGCCAGGCGTCGCCAGCGGGTGCTTAGTCGTCTGCGGATCAGCACAGCCGCAAACTGGCGGATCTAGGACCAGGAGGCAGGCATGTGAGGGTAGGGACAGGAAGATGCTGAGCGGACCGCAGTGGGTAGGAGGTGGGGCTTGACGGGGAAAGCTCGGCGGATAGGGGCAAGGGCCTTCCTTACCTGGGGGTCGGCCGCCGAGGCCAGCAGGTCGCAGAGTGCGGGCAAGGTGGCGGGGTCCCGAAGAGCGATCTGGAGCTGCTCGGTGGCCTACAGGGAGACTGGGGGGGTCACAGTCGGGCCTTTCCCACAGCCTCCCCCTGGCCCTGACCCTGCCCCGCCTGTCCTGTACCCGGCGGATGCGTTCCGTGTCGGGCAGCAGCAGCTCTCTCAATATCTGCTCCAGGCCGGCGGGCTCCATGGCAGCAGCGGAGCYGCCGCTACGCGGCCGGGATGGGGGAGGGACTGCACGTGGAGGCTTTGACACACACTTCCGGCGGAAAGGGCGTTGCTCCGTGCCCCTTTGGTCGCCAGGGTGATTAAACTCTTTCCCACTAAGAGCTCCCGCTCCGTGGCTTCCGTTAGACGGAGTGCGGGCTGGGCCGCGGAAACAGGGCCCTGGCTACATAGGTTCCCCCAGCCGAGAGTTCCCACGCTCCGTTGAAGAGTTTCGTGCATGAAAGGCGGACTCGGCTTTCCCAGGGACCGCGCCCCTAATGGCAGGCCTCTTGAGCTTCCATAGCCAGACCAAAATCTCCAAATACAGGTTCCTTTTCTTAATAAATTTTATTTTGATAATTGTAAAAAGAAATCAGGATCAAAACTAAAGGCAACTTAAAAAGTTCAAATATATACTCCTTATATAATAGAGATTTATAATTTCCAGGCTCTCTCTTGGGAAGAAAGGCCCAAAGAGCAAAGGGGCAGGCAACGATGCCATCACACAATTCACTCACTCACTCAGAAGAGAAGCTGGCAGGAGAGATCAGTGGGGCATGAAGGGAGGGAGAAAAGAGCCATAGTTCTGCTACTCAGAACTCAGTCCATCTTGAGGTTAACATATATATAACGGATGAACTTTAGGGAAGAAAAAAAGGAGATAGTGCCCAGCATGAGGAAGAAGACATAACCAGTGAGTAAGGAGTAGCCAAAGAACTCTACTGTCTGTACTGCCCCTGACATATTGGAGCGGCGAGCATAGTAGAAAACCGAGTAGAGAAAGATGAAGAGGCCAGTGGAGCCAACACTCAACACAGAGCGCCACCACCAGCGGTAGTCCTCCCCAGACAACTGGAAGTAGGTGAGTGCAATTGAGATGCAAGCCCCCACACTCAACAGGATGGCGAAGACAAAGAAGAGGATGCCATATAGGGTATACTGTTCTCGACCCCATACTGTGGCAAAGATGTAGTACAGCTCCACAGAGATGGCACTGTGAAGAGAAGAAACAATATACATAATTTAAGGCTATGCAGAACACCATGGCTAAGCCAAAATTCAGCTCACACCCTCCCATGTTGCTGGATCACTGAAAAGTGAGTCCATTCCACTCTTCCCCAGATTTATTTTTTTCTTTTCGGTACTGGGGATTGAACACAGGGGTGCTTTACCACTGAGCTATATCCCCAGCCCTATCTATTTTTTGAGACCGGATCTCACTAAGTTGCTGAGGCTGCCCTAGAACATGTAATCCACCTGCCTTGGCCTYCTTGAGTAACTGGGATTACAGGCATGTGTCACCACACTTGATTGTGGGTATTCTTTTGCCTATGATTAGCTGCCCTTTTTTTGGGGGGGGGGGCGCTGGGGATTGAACTGAAGGGCACTTGACCACTGAGCCACATCCCCAGCTCTATTTTATATTTTATTTAGAGACAGGGTCTCACTCAGTTGCTTAGTGCTTCTCCATTGTTGAGGCTGGCTTTGAACTCAAGATCCTCTTGTCTCAGCCTCTTGAGTCACTGGGATTACAGTCATGCGCTACCGTGCCTGGCTGATTAGCTGTTTTTTTTTTTTTTCTTTTTTTTGTAATCGTAGATTGACAGAGTGCCTTTATTTTATTTATTTATTTTTATGTGGTGCTAGGCAAGTGCTTTGCCACTGAGCTACAGCCTCAGCCCTGATTTGCAGCTCTTAATTCAAGAACATCTTCTCTGAGAGATTGAAAGCAGAGGTTTTTGTTTTTTTTGGTGCTGGGGATCCAACCCAGGGCCTTGTGCATGTAAGGCAAGCACTTTACCAACTGAGCTATATCCCCAGCCCCCAAAGGACGGATCTTGTCTGTTTTATTTTCTACTGCATCATCTGTCAGGAACAAAGAGATATCCACATGATGCCTGTAAACACTAGCAGCACATGGGGCTTAAAGCCCATTTGATTACTCATTCAATTTATTAAATAAGAGAGTGTTACAAATGAGACATCTGAACCGACTGAAGTTCAGTTGTGCTTGGGGATAGGAGGAACTATTTAATGAGCTTGTAGTGGTACAGCTGAAAAAGGGATTATCATTGAGTTATGGTAGGGAGTTGGTGGGGAAAGGAAAAATTGAAGTCAAGAACAGAGTGATGACCATGGAATAAAGATAGAATACCTGAAGGGCAGGAAGCCTCCAACAGTCATGTGGATGAGAGTAGACTTATACCAGGGCTGAGGTGGGATCTCTCGGGCGATGTTCTTGGTACGACAAGGTGCATCGAAGGAGCTAGCATTGTTCTTCCCGAAGATGCCTCCGATGACAGTGAGAGGAAAGCCTACCAGCAGCCAGACCGTCAGAAGCAGTAGGATGGTGGTGGCTGGTAGGGCCTGTGTTGAGCCATTGGCCCAATGTACCGAGTTCACCACACTCCAGGTCAAGAAGAAAGGCACTGCAGGGATGGGCCCCAGAGGAGGGTGAGCACTAGGAGCTATGTCCCTGGGGGCACCCACTCAAACTGCACCTAAAGGGGAGAAGAGTGAACCAGCCTGCCACTCTTAACAGCCCACCTATTTTCCTGGATATCTGTACAGAGCTGACTGCCTTTACCTCCACCCTTTTATATCCTATTGTTTTGTTTTTGTTTTTGAGTGCTGGGGTTWATACCCAGGGCCTAGTGTGTACTGAGCAAGTATTCTACCACTGAGCCACATCCCTAGTGCTCACTGTTCTTTATTCCTTATATTTTCAACACTCTCCCCCTACCTAGTGTCATCAAGGATCAGGGTAATTGCTTCATCAAAATCTGAGACTGACACAAATCCACCTGCCTTCAGGGGCCTGTCTTGCCGTAATACTGGTAATTTCTAGCATGAGATATTCCTTTGGATTAAGGCCCTGTTTTCAGAAAGTCCTACTTCAAATAAAAACATGATGGGGGGCTTGGTCTGTAGCTCAATGGCAAAGTGCTTGCCTAGCATGTGTGAGGCACTGGGTTCCATCCTTAGCACCACAAGGCATTCTGTCCATCTACAACTAAAAAAATAAAAAATAAAAATGAGGTGGGATATAAGTCAGACGCAAAATTGGGAAGAGGAAGGGTTCAGATTGCACACATCTGTTGCCTTTGAAAGGGCAATCTTGTTTGAAAGGCTAGAGGGACCATACTTCCAAAATAAAAAGAAGTATCAAAAAGTAAACTCAAGGGCTGGGGATGTGGCTCAAGCGGTAGCGCGCTCGCCTAGCATGCGTGCGGCCCGGGTTCGATCCTCAGCACCACATACAAACAAAGATGTTGTGTTCACCAAATACTAAAAAAATAAATATTAAAAAAAATGTTTAAAAAAAAAAAGTAAACTCAAGAGTGTTATTTAAGTATAATGGTTGAGAACACAGGCTTGAGATTCAGATTGCCTGCATCTAAAACCTGATTTTCTACTTTTGGATATAATCTTGGCTAAATTACCTAACTAGCTGAATGAAGTTCAGTTTCCTAATCTACAATGGGGACAACATTACCTACTTCACACACATTGTGAGGATTAAATGAGCTGAAGACATCAAGTGCTTACTACATTGCTTAGGACTTTTTAAGGACTTAACTTTTATTCAAAAGAAATAGATTCTTTTTGATAGTTTCCTAATTCTCACCACCCCCATATTCTTTCCTTTAAAGCTTCACTCTGACTTTTCCAGGTTCCAAGATGTGTTCTTAGTTCCCAAGTTCAGGCAGACCCACTAGGGAAGGGGAAGTCCTCACCAGAAAAGAGACTGGTGGTGAGAATGATGTTCCACACCCAGCGCTCGCCTCCAATCTGCCGGTAGAAGTGGCTGGACACGTAACCAGAGATGCAGCAGGTCAGGGCATACAACAAGATGGCTGCTGAGTTAATAGCTCCATGACGGTGCACGTTGAACATGCCCAGAAGTGCCATGACAATAATACCTACAGGGTGGTAGTGGAAAGCCTATGTTAGGTCTTACTCTTCAGTTCCTCTTGCAGTTTCAAAGGAATCACAACCCTTCTCCCAGACCCACGACTGCCAGCAAAACTATCTTCCCCAAATTCAGTTGTCCAGAAAGCCAGCAATAAAATACACAGCCTCACTAGAGCCTCCTTAACCCTTAGGTCTGCCCTTCACCTTGAACAGAAGATCCAAAGACCTATTCTAATAAACTACCTATCCCTTGAGATAAATCCCGCATTAATTCTTATCACCTCACCAGTGCCAAGGGCCAGGAACTGGGCACCCACACCAAGCACTGCACAGAGCAGACCACGGTATGGAGGGAAGCGGAAGACATCTGTATGGATAATTTTCCAGCCATTGTCACCCTGGTCAAAGTCATCACCAGAACCTCCAGAGGTGGTCTCCTCATCCAGGTTGTATCGAGCCAGATCATTCCGAAGCACACGCATTAGAATGACAGCCACAAAACCCACCAGTAAAAACACAAGCACCATGGAGTTGATGATGGACAACCAATGGATTTCCAATGTTCGGGGAAAGAAACCACCATCATCACCACGGCGCCTGTCACTCCGTCGTTCCACTGAAGTCTCAGACCAGCGCACACTGTAAGTGTGAGTAAGACCTAGGAACTCATCAGATCGTAACCCATCCAAACTGTGGGGCTTCACATCTCGCACTGAAACATTGGCAAATATAATTCGATCACCATGGAATTCTAGGTGGAAGTCCAAATGGGTCCAGAGTCCTATCTTGTGGCTGTGTGGCAGGAAGCCACTCTCCTCCATGTATCCCACAAAACCACGGATTGGCAAGTCATCTACCACAAATTCAAAGTAATACAGTTCCTCAATGGCCTGGCGCAGCTGCTCCACCTATAAAGAGCAAGTTAGGAGACAATCACACAAGGTCTTCCCAGGCCTGGGATTAYAGCAGGGTTTCTCAGCCTCAGCACTACCTATATTTTGTGCTGGGTAGTTCTTTGCTGTTGGGAGGGCTGGGAGGTGGGCAGCATCCCTGGTCTCTATTCACAAAATGCTAGTAGTACTTCCCAGTTGTAACAATAAAAAATATCTATAGATGTTGCCAAATGTCTCTTGGGGGACAAAACCCTGTAGAGACTTGAGTTAGACTCAAGTATGTTGTGCACACACAC